CAAAAACAGGTGCTTTTCTTATAGGAATTGCTTAGAGGGCCCAGTCTCCTGAAGATAATTTCCCAGAGGATCACCAGTGTATCCATTCATAAACAATGTTTTAATAAGTAATTCTCCTTTAACTCTGGCCCACGGTTCTATACACCATTTGTCATAGTGTTTCCATAGGAAATTATTTTTGGTTTTATAACTTGAAAGTCCAACTTCCACTCCACCAGCACACAATGGTGAGATAGATGACAATAGTTAATAGCAAGATGATTAAAATACTGTAATATAAATATATTTGATGAAATTAAGAGTCATAATCAATTTAAGGAAAAAGAATCAAATTATTGTTTTTTGTTTTTCTATATCTCTTGATTTGCCTTCAATTGAAATGTTACTTTTATAAAGAAAAGTTTCTTATAATTTCAAAAGAAACTGAATCAAATTAACATCGTGCACTTATTTTTCTTTACAAGGCAATAAAATATGACCTGGGAAGTTCATTTATGAACAAAATGGAAGGTCCAAGGGAAATATACCAATTAGACCTCAACATTGTGGGTTTGCAATTCAGCCATCATCATCTCTTCAATCAAGAACAAGTATTATGTGCTAGGCTTCTCCAACTATATGAATGTTTTCAGGACAGGCAGCAACAGAATGTATCTCAGCTGCTTTATGAGAAGGTGAGAATGGCTTTCATTATAAAGCTAAACATTTAATATTGAAAGAGAAAAAATTCCTTGTCCAGAGCAAATTATCAGAACATTTTCTAAATATTTAAGTAGAACAATGGTTCAATTTCAGTTTCTCTGAAAAGAAACTGTAGGAATTGACTGACTGGGGAGAAAGCTTTAAATATATCCAATGGCATATTTATTTACCACAAATGGTTTACTAATCAATGGTATTCTTGGTCCTATAGCTCAAGAAGAGTATTTGAAATGATTGTTACTGAAAAGAGCCATGTGGCTTTTTTAAGTCTTGTAATAAAGTATTTTAATTAAAATATTAGAAATCTTGAATCTCGTAACAAATCTGAAGAGTCTTGGTCCGAAGCTGATTAATCCAAGTAGTCATCTCATGACATCATGAGGGCTATATGAAGTCTGAAGAGAAATAGAAGGAGTACCCACTGATTACTTTTACAAACTTGTGCCTCATTTAAACTCTCTGCTAGGTTTCTGATATATGAGCATTTTGTTGACTAGTGTTCTCTTGGGAAAGGTATTTTGATAGTATGTCTCATTCAACTAATGAATACATTTGAAATCAAATACTTGTAAGATATTTAATGAAACATTCAGTCCCGATGGAGCCACAAAGCCATTTCAATAAACTGGACATGAACTAATTATGAACCTTCATAAATATCTGTTATGGACCTTCATAAATATCTGCTTTTTTATTTTTATTTTTGAGACGGAGTCTTGTTCTGTTACCCAGGCTAGAGTGCAGTGGCGTGATCTTGGCTCCCTGCAACCTCTGCCTCCCGAGTTCAAGCGATTCTCTTGCCTCAGCCTCCCGAGTAGCTGGGACTACAGGTGCCCACCACATGCGTGGCTAATTTTTGTGTTTTTAGTAGAGATGGGGTTTTGCCATGTTGGCCAGGCTGGTCTCGAACTTCTGACCTCAGGTGATCTGCCTGCCTTGGCCTCCCAAATTGCTGAGATTACAGGTATGAGCCACCACACTCAGCCGATATCTGCTTTTTAAAATACAAGTTTAAAACCCACAGGACTTAATCCTTTTTTTTTTTTTTTTTTTTTTTTTGGTCTCATTCAGGCTGCAATGCAGTGGCTCAATCATGGCTCACTGCAGCCTCAACCTCCCAGGCTCAAGCTGTCCTCCCACTTCAGACTCCTGAGTAGCTGGAACTACAGGTGTGCACCACCACACCTGGCTAAAGTTTTTTTCTCTTTCATAGAGACAGGCTTTTGCCATGTTGCTCAGGCTGCTCTTGAACTCCTGGGCTCAAGTGATTTGCCTGCCTCGGACTCCTTAAATGTTGGGATTACAGGTCTGAGACACCATGCCCAGCCAGGAGTTAATCTATTTGATTTGATGGAGCAACTGTGTGGGAGAACTTAATAGATGAACACCATGCATTAGCAATATCAGAATATTTCCTAAAATCAATATTGGATATTCTAACTTTTAGTAAAATATGGCCATTTTTTAAATGAATGAAGGAAACAACTCAGATTAAAATGCAGGTCATTTAAAAAGTGATTTGATCTACAGATTTCTGCTTTACAGAATTTTTTCCAATAATATTATAGAATCTTTAAAGTCTTATCTAACAATATCAATTGTAGTTTATTAGAGTACCATCTATTAAAGTATATATGGACTCTAGGTTTATTTTTCATGTATATGCATGGGTCTGTGCATAAAATAAAAACTTTTGGGGTTATTATTTGCAATATGTTTCAGTATTATTATTGTATTAGGAGCCAAATGTAATTTCTTAGCAGATTTTTACTTGTTTTCAATTTATTCTCTTATATGAATATAAATATTTTCTCTACCTCCCAGTAAATTGTAAAAAGAGAAATGTGGTTGGAAGTGTGCATAATCTTCTCTTCTAAGGTGGAGAAGAGCAGTGGGGAAGAGAAGAAAAGGCCACGTGGTGCAGAGCGTGTCCGTCGGCCTCCCACCAAAAGATTAATTTCTTAAACATGGATAATTTAGACACTGGGTGTGAAATGTACGGCTTTGCCTGTTCCCAGTGTTTTCAAACCAATTCAGAGTAGTGGAAGAGTCATTGGCATCCAAAAAATTCTTAAACTGAAATATGCTCCTTTATATGAGTATGAATTCCACTTAAAGAACAAAGAGGGATGTTGCTGATAGTATGAGAGAGTAGAAAGGATGCTCAGCTATGCCGACTTCTGCTCTTTTTCCCTCTAGCTTTAAAAAATTGTACAAATAATACAGGAATACATTCACACTGGAAAAGATTAATTGTAGAAGTGTCAAGATGTGAAAGCCCTAATTCATTCCACACCTCATAGTTTGGACATCCTTTAGCTCTTTAAGTACATCCTTAAAGTTCTCTTCTCCCTGTATTTCTATATGTATGTATGCCATGATTGTTTTTAACATAAATTGGATCTTACCATATGTATTATTTGGCAACTTGGTTTTTTTTAGATACAGCATCTTGTTATGTTGCCCAGGCTGGACTCAAACTCCTGGGCTCAAGCAATCCTCCCACCTCAGCCTCCCAAGTAGGTGAGACTACAGGTGTGCACCACCATGCCCAGCTGGTTTTCTGAAATTAATACTCTATCTTGGAACTTTATATGTATCACTATTATATATATATGTCCATAATATAGGTTTATTTCAATATATTTAACATATTTAATCACTCCCATTCAATGGCACTTAGGTCATTTCTCTATGATTAATAATGAAGCAGTGAATATCCTTGTACCTATATATTTGAGCACATCTATGAAAACTTCTATAGGGTAGACCCATAGAAGTGAAGTTGCCTGGTCAAAGTTAAGGGTATATGCAGTTTAAACTTTGTTAGAAAGTGATAAAATGCCTTTTCCAAATGTTTTTCCAATTTGAATTTCCACTGGCAAGGCAGGACAGAGTCCACTTCGCAGAGACTTCACCAATATTCAGTATTATTTTCTAGCTTCATCTTTAATTAATTCATGAGTTAAAAAATAATATATAGGCTGCGCACGGTGGCTCACACCTGTAATCCCAGCACTTTGGGAGGCTGAAGCGGGTGGATCACGAGGTCAGGAGATCGAGACCATCCTGGCTAACATGGTGAAACCCCGTCTCTACTAAAAATATAAAAAATTAGCCTGGTGTGGTGGCGGGTGCTTGTAGTCCCAGCTACTCGGGAGGTTGAGACAGGAGAATGGCGTGAACCCGGGAGGTGGAGCTTGCAGTGAGCCGAGATGGTGCCACTGCACTCCAGCCTGGGTGACAGAGTGAGACTCTGTCTCAAAAAAATAAAAAATAAAAAAATAGTAATAATAATATATATATATATTTTTTCTAGATGTAGGTCCATAAAAGAAGTATATCTTTTAAATATGTTTTATATATTTTTGTCCTATTCTGTTACTTGATTTAAACTTTATTATATATTTCAGCGAACATTTTAAATTAAAAAAAATTCTTTTTGAGAAAGGTCTCACTCTGTCACCCAGAGTGCAATTATAACTCACTTCCGCCTCTTAACTCCTGGGCTCAAGTGATGCTCTCACTCAGCCTCCCTAGCTGGGACTACAGGTACATGCCACAACAACCAGGTCATTTAAAAAAATTTTTTTAGAAACGAGGTCTTTCTATGTTGCCAGGCTGGCCTTGAAATCTTGGCCTCAAGCAATCCTCCTACCTCAGCTTCCTGAGTTTTCGGAATTACAGGCATGAGCCACTGAACTTGGCAAGCATTTTACATTTTTACGAGGTCAAATCTGTTAATCTTTTCCCTTGTGAATTTTAGATTTTTTTTGTTTGCTTCCTAAGCTTCCTAAGACCTTCTCTAGCCCAAGTTTATCAATTAGGCTATTTTTGGTTGCAATTCAAGGAAAACTTCATCTCAGTTACTTCAGACAATAAGGAAAGGCATTACCTCATATTGTCCAAGTTAGGGCAGCTCTAGGTTTGGTTAATTTGGTGTCTCGACAATATTATCAACAACCCTAGCCTTTTCTGTCCTTCTCTTCATCTTCAGCAAGTCGACTTGGGGTTAGCCCCACTCATGGAAGCTAACCAAGTGGCTGCTCCAGTTCAAGGCGTGCTGGTCAGATAGATAATATGCAGCGTAGTGTCTCACGTTGAGAGCCTTCTCCAATCTCTCTCGTCCTGCAGCAGATTTCCCCTAATATCTCATTGACTAGAAATGTTTCACATGATCATGCCTAAACTCTTCATTGGCAAGAATGAAATTGCTGCAAATAGCTGCACTAATCAGTTTACCTCAAAAACACATGGAAAATGGTTGAGCAATTGAACAAAATTGGTGTTCTGCCAACCAAGAAAAATGATCCTTTAAGGGCAATGAATAGTGTCTGACAGACCAAAATTATAAAGACTTCCTTTTATATATCCTTGTGGTGTATATTATATATGTGTTTGTATATGTGTATACATATGAATGTGTGAGTATATGTGTGTGTGTGTGTCAAAGGGCATGTGTGTATATAATTTCCAGCCTTTTCTATCTAGAGTTTATATCTGTGTCTCAGGTGAGACTGGGCTCCAACTCCACTCTTTCTCCCAAAAGATCAGCCTAATATCCAAATACCATCATTTATTTCCCTATTGATTTAAAATACTAACTTTATCCTATACCAGCTGCACATATTTATTAACATATAGGTTTGCTTGAGGACTAGTATGGTCTAGTACCATACTGTTTCATTACCATATTTAATTATTATATGTCATAGCACAAGTACCTCCTCATTGTTGTTCTTTTGTAGAATGTTTTTGGATACCCCATAGATTTTATCTTCCATATGAACCTTAGAATTAGCTTGTCACCTTCTATTTTTAAAATCCTGTTACCATCTTTATTGTGATTGTGTTGTAGTGTTACATTAATTTTGAAAGAAATTTGATCCTCATAAAAATTGGGTTTCCTCTTCCAGGAATATAGTTTGTTTTCCTATGTTTAGGTCTTCTCGTATGTCTTCCAGTAAAAGTTTATATCAATTGACTCTAGTCTTGAAGTTCCCACAAATTACCCCTACCTGTGACAGACTTCTCCTTTATGTGTTTTACGGCCTAGTTTCCTCCTATTCTATTGCTCTATGGATGTTACTCTGTTTTATACCTTCTGTAGTATATCTTGTTCTCTTGATTTTATTCTTCTTGTTTTCCTACATTATGCACTTATCTGTAAAGACAGTTATCAGTATATTTATATAGATATTGATGTGATGATGGCAATGGATGTGGATAAAGACAGACATATGTTTTTTCTGTAACTATGGGATTTTAGGTGAAAGATAAGATTGGTACCTGTGCTCAATATTCCTTCTTGATCTAATGACATTTCTTTATATCAATTAATGAATTGATTGTCTAGTAATGTTCAAGATACTAGATGTTATTAGATACTAAATTGATGTTTATTGCCTACATAGATATTGAGGCTCTTCTCAGTTCCTCCCCAAGGTGCTTATATAAAATATATTGTGGAAGATAAGCCAATAATACACACAAAGTTATACATTTGTTCTGCTGCTGCACACACCTTGACCTATAGGTGAGCTGGAGTAATGGTAACAGGTGGATAAAATATACCAAAGAGCTCTTTTTTTGTTGTTATAGCTGAAAGCACTGACAGATGCTACTGAATTGTCAAATGAAAATTCAGAAATAAACCAGCTGACGAGAAAATCTTTACAAGATTATTATTGGCAAATAAGGTAGGTTTTGAGCCATTCATGTTCATCAAGCATTCATTAGGTAACTTCTTTAGACAAAGTACTGCACTTGCTATGGAAGATAAAGAAAAGTACACAATCCCTACTTTTTAGGCGATTACAGAAATGGTTTCAATCTTTTTTAAGACCCACGTTTGTGTAAAAATATTTCACAGGTGTGCCATATGAAAGTAATTCTAGTTTTAACATCCATTGATTTTTTTAAAAAAGTTGAAGAACTATAAGTTCATGAGTACTTTGAAATTGACTTGGATTATATTGATCTGAAGTGTTAGTGTATATTTGATTATTGGTGCACATTTACACATGTGCCAGATATGTTATTATTTCAGAGTCTAAAGACACTTTTTCACAAGTAGTGGATTTAAGGACCCCTGTAAAAAGCATGGTCTACAAGTTGGGAGCCATTGGCATATAGACTGGAAAGCGAAGTTATGAAAGTGTGAAATAACTGGAAAAGTAATTCCAAGACAAAACATATTCATGTGTCACAGAATCTCTAAGAGCAGGAAAATTCACTGGAAGGTATTCGTAATCAGAAGACAGCCTTCATTCAGATTTCTGACATGAATTTATACAACTTATTTAGCCTAAAATCTATCTCAGATTTAGAATTTAACTTAAAATAGTCCCAGATTGGCATTGGCACCAAACAACTGGCAAAGCAAATACATATTTTTCCTGAAAGACCACAGTTTTAATCCTAGCTCAGAGATTATTCAAAGATATAACACTTTAAGGAACATGAGCTTACAGTTTACAACCTCTTCTATCACACACGCACAAAGACAGCATGAATAAGAGCCAGAAGAAATAATAGAAGGCTCATACAAAGCAAAAGCTTAAGAAAATAGAATGATCAAATATAGAAAATAATAGAACTTTTTAAAATATGATTTAAAAATAAAAGACAAGCTTGAAAATATGATCTACAAACAAGATAGAGTAAATTACTGAGTACTTCTTGAGCTATTTTTATATAAGAAGAACCAAAGAGAATTTATAGAATTGAAAAACATAAAGTGAAAATTAAAAAAATTCAATGGAAGGAATTTCTAGGAAGATAGAAGAAGCAGCAGCACTAGGAATTCATCTCCCCACCTAGACAGCAGTTGTACTAGCAGAGAACCTGTCTGATGTAACTACAGTTGTCCCTCAGTATCTGCAAGGGATTGGTTCCAGAACCTCCTACAGACACCAAAATTCATGGATGTTCAAGTCCCTTGTATAAAACGACATAGTATTTGCATGTAACCTATGCACATCCTCTCATACACTTTAAATCATTCCTAGATTACTTATAATACCCACTACAATGTAAATGCTATGTACATAGTTGTTCTACTGTATTTGTTTTTTCACATTATTTTTTACTCTTGTATTGTTATTGTTGTTGGCTTTTTAAAAAATGTTTTAAATCTGAGATTGGTTAATCTGTAGATGCAGAACTCATGGATATGAAAAGCCTATATTTTGGAACTCTGGAGTGTATTGAAGGCTTGCAGCATCCAGAGGAAGGCTTGGGTGGTAAATTGGGGTTAATTTTGGTCAATGTCAGCTGTTAGCACAGCAGCAGCTATCTCCCCACCCCTACCCCTCAGCCCCATGGCAGGCAGCTGTGCACATGTTCCTGGAGTAACCCACACACATTTTTCAGGAGCCCAAGGTAAGCAAAAAGGACCTTATCCTACAAATATTGGGAACATGTGCTCTGATCACTGCTTACTTCTAATCACAGAGGTGCAATGAGAGGGGGACCATTATTGTTGTACTTTTCCCCATTGTTGCAAGCCCCTCTATCTCTGGATAAAGTGACTTCCAGGGGATTTAAAAAGCTAGTGCCCCTTCCACACCCCTTCATTATTTCTTTTTCCTCTTTTGGGATCCAGATATTAAAGACTATGACATTTAAAAGCAACTGCATATACAGGGAAAATTAGAAAGTGACCACACATGCACAGGGAAAGGCATCGACTCAGAAAAGACCTGAGAGGACCTTATGTTTATACCTCAGCCTGATCCTGGGCACAGAGACAGCTGACAATGATGTTTTTGTTTGTTTGTTTGTTTTGGAGACAGAGTCTTGCTCTGTCACCCAGGCAAGAGTGCACTGGCACGATCTTGGCTCACTGTGACCTCTGCTTCCCGGGTTCAAGCGATTCTCCTGCCTCAGCCTCCCAAGTAGCTGGGACTACAGGCGCATGCCACCACGCCTGGCTAATTTTTGTATTTTCACTAGAGATGGGGGTTCACCATGTTGGCCAGGCTGGTCTCGAACTCCTGACGTCAGGTGATCCACCTGCCCCGGTCTCCCAAAGTCCTGGGATTACAGGTGTGAGCCACCACACCAGGCCATGATTTTTTTAAAAAATAACAATAACAAAAAACAGCAAGCCCTGGGAGAGGAGGACAATGTGATTTCTAGAGTTACCACATTATTAGATTCAAATATCCAGTTTTCAACAACAGAAAAACACAAAGGTATACAGAGAAACAGGAAAGTATGGCCAACTCAAAGGAAAAGAATAAATCAACAGAAACTGTGCCAAAAAAAAAAAAACCTACTAGATAAAGACCTACTCGATGGCAGATCTACCAGATAAAGACTTTAAAACAACTGTCTTAAAGATGTGCAAAGAACTAAAGAAAGACGTCAAGAAAGTCAAGAAAACTGTATGTTAAACCATGCATAAACAAAATAGGCCAGATGCGGTGGCCCCAAGCCTGTAATCCCAGCACTTTGAGAGGCTGAGGTAGGCAGATTGCTTGAGGTCAGGAGTGCAAGACTAGCCTAGCTAACATGGTGAAACCACATCTGTACTAAAAATACAAAAATTAGCCAAGTGTCGTG